ACTAAAATAAATAAACATTAATAATTAAGTACTCTTAAAAGGTTCCCCCACTGGGACCAACAGCCCCAATCTCTCTGTGCAGCCTGCATCTTCCCTAAGGAGCAAGGGCTGTGTCTTTTCCATAGTCACAGCCTGGCCCAGTAAATGTTTGTGGAGTTTTTGGATAACGTAACGGCTTAAAGAGCAAGTGTTTTAAGTGCTCTGGGAGTGGCATTTGAAACACTTTCCTCCGATCCGCATCTGAGACAGCAGTACAGGTGTTCCCAGCAGCTGGCCCTGGGCCAGGTGAACCAGGACGTGACCAGAGCGTTTTCCACCCTCGGCCCACAGGGGGCACGCTTCCCCCACAGGTATCTGAGCATTTCAGCCGCTGGTGTGAGGTCATTATAATTCAGGACCACACCGCAGCTGAGCCAGACGCCAGAGCAACCTGGGGAATGCAGCCAAGTCCTTGAAAGAGACAAGAGAGGAGATAATAACCTTAAAACGGGGAGGTGTTAGGGAGAGAAGGATCAGAGGAGAAAGGGAGCGGGCAGGCATCCCCACGCCAGGACCTGCACATCTAAGTGTGTGTGTGTGCATGTGCCAGCGCACACACGCGCTGATCACTTCATCCCAAGGCAGGCTCGTCAGCCTCTCTGCCAGGACCCCATCTGTAGCCCCCAGGACTCTGGGGAGCCTGAGAATGAGCTCTGACTCCAGCTGATGAACCAAGCCACGACATGCCACCCCCAAGTCTATCCTGAACTGGGGACAGGGGAAGACAGGCTGGGCCTCTCTTGCATATTCTGCCTTGTGGGCTTTTTCTCACTACTGTGACAGTGACTGAGCCCTGGGTTGTTTAAACAGCCGTACCCCCTGCTCACAGAAGGCCTCGAACAACGCAGGTGTGTGACAAGTTGGCCATCTACCAACACTTGTTTAGTGCATCTTCTCTAATGGAGGGCGCTTCTGCATGGCACGGGGTGTGTCTTTCATGTCTCGCCCCCTGCACCCCGACACCCCACTTCAGTTCCCACCCACTAGGGCAAAGGTAACGATCCCATGAAAGGACATACTGACCTCCAGGTTACAGATGGCAAAAGGAGGCAGCTCTGGGGCATGTGCCAGTCTGTTCAGTGCCGAGGCTCATTCTGCTCCATGCCACAGTGGGACTGCTTGGCGAGGCTGACTAGGAGGCCCCTGCGTCTGCCTGTGCTTGCCACTACCTGAGCTCCAAGGTGGTGTGGCACCTCCTCTAGTGGGCCCTTCTTCTGCTCCTCTGACTTTGGTTAGTCTCCCTCCTCCCAGGCAGAGCTCCCAGAGACCTCTATGCCCCTAGAGCATGGCCTGGAGGAGCAGAGCAGCATAGCCCTCCCTCCAACCCTACCTACCTGCTGTCACCCTGCACTGTTAGCTGCAGGGATGCAGGTATTTGGGACGGGGCCAGAGACTTGATAACCACAGCCCTGATATCCTGTTGGGGGCACAACCCAGCTCAGCTCCACAGGGAGCAACATGATCATCTGTCACCACGTATCAGATGAGAGACCTCTGGGGGCTGCTTCAGCCCCTCGCCAAAACAGCCCACAGGCTCCTTGGCCAGGAACTACCTGCTGTGAAACTTGTGCAGACCAGGGGACAATGAAACCATAGACAGTGGTGGCCCTATCTGTACTCCATTGCTGCCCAGGTCACATTCTTTCCCCGGTACCCTATCAGCGGCTAGATCTGGGCCCAATCCATCACACTGTGGAGCTGATTTATTACTCTTGTGGCCTTGCTCTTGGGGGACTGGAGAACAGCATGTCATCACCCTCTGTAATATTACAACCCCGGGGAGATTTGATGAACATGACTCATCGGCCTCCCAGGCCCCAGCAAGAGGCTCCCGGGCCTTTCTGTTGGTGTGAATACGATAACAGTCAGGACCACAGCAGTGAAAACGACCACTGCACCCCCCAGTTATTGATCGTCTGTGCACCGAGTCCTATGCTGCCCATTTTCCCACATTATTCCATTCACCTTTACAACCCAACCAAGAAGGTGCTCTTGCTGTGCTGTCTTTCAGATGAGGAAACAGAGGGTCAGAGCAGCTCAGTGCCTGTAACTTGATCTGGTCACAGGGTCAGGCCACAGCAGAGCTAGGATGATGTGCAGGGATGCTTAATCCCAGAGCCCAGGCCTTCTCTACACCCACCGCTCCCCAAAGTGTATGTTTGTGTGTGGTGCAGGGGACCAAACCAGGGTCCCGCACATGCCAGCCAGGTGCTCTACCACTGAGCTACATTCCTAGCCCCCAACAACTGCTTTTAAACTCAACCCTCACTCCAAGCTGAAGTCCAACTTGACAACAGAGACAGCACCCAGGGCTGTCTTCACCCAGGGCTGTGTGCAGGGCTAATGGCCCCAAGTAAGCATCCCCGGCGGGATATTTGCACGTGACTGCTGGTGGCTGGCTTCTCTCTCCGTGAACATCATGGGCTTTTAGTTTATCTCTCTTTCATCTCTCTCCTGATTGCTGCCATTGATCCTACTGTGTTACAGACAGAAATGCCCCCTCAGGCTCAGGCCTCTTTGATTAGGGCACTGTCCCATGCTCAACCCTGAGTCACTGCCTCTGTGGAGGGGACAGGGAAGCAGATACCACTCTGGGGCCTGCCATGCCTTGAGGGTTCACTGCCATAGAGGTCTTCACCCCCATTCTGGCTACACCCCTAGCAGAAGTGTGGGTACTCAAGGCAAGAAGCAGGAGGATGCCTGCGCCATGGGGAAGGGCCATGGCAGGAGGACAGCTGCTGGGCGAGGTGGACAGGCAGGCCAGTAATGGAAGCCAAACTGAAAACCTACACCTTCGGCGCCAGGCTGTTTCTGAGCAGCGAGTTCCCTGGATTTCCTTAGTGCATGTTTGCACAGATGCTGCAAAAAGTCTGCTGAGCTAAGAGCAGAGAAGTATGTATCTCCATTCACATTCTGCAGGGGACAATGCCAGGTCAGGGGGGTGATGCAGTCAGAACCAAGAGAGAAAATTCCAGAAAGGGCTGCTCTGGAGCTCAGTGCCTTCCAGCCACCCCTTCCATCTTGGAACCTGAGCTGCTAGGATTTGTCCTAATAGGAGGCTGTTTATATGTCCCAGGGTGGAAACCCCAGACCTCAGGGAGTCTGGTGGCTCCTGGGGTACATGGACGCACAACACACTGGAAGCCAGACCTTCCTTCTACCCTTCCTTGGAGCCTCCTCCAGGGCCGACAGTTTCCCAACCCACCTCCTGGAGCCCACATCCAGACTCCTTTTCGTAAGTTCCAGAAGTCAGGCTAGATAAACATTCTGAAGTCAGAGCACATTCTAGGCACAGTTCTCCTGCCTCACTAGCTATGGGATCTTGGACAAGTTACAAAACTCCATGACTGTGTTTCCTCATTTATAAGATGACAGTGATAACAGTGTTAATCTCTCATACTTGTGGAACTTAAGTATCAGAAAGTACCCAAAGCCAGGCATGTACCACCACTATGCTGTAATCTCAGCACTCAGGAGGCTAAGGCAGGAGGATCATGGTAAGTTTGAGGCCAGCTTGTACTACCAAGTGATTTTTAAGGCCAGTCTGAACTACATAGTGAAACCCTGCCTCAAAAAAAGGCACCCACACATACACAGACAGGGGCTGGAGCGCGCACTCCCCAGAATGCACACCATGATCACTGGTGACCGGTCCACTGTGAGAGGACTGAGGCAGGCACCAGGAAGAGCAGCAAAGCACTGCCTAAGGGGGTTCGTACCAGCAGTCCACCCCCGATTCACCACCTTCTCTGAGCCTGGCCCTCAAGACACCTCCTGGTCTTGAGATTGAGCTGCAGCCTGCCTTCCAGAGAGACTGCAGCTGCTGCTGCCCGCTTGTGCCATGTCTCATGAAGCGGCACAGCTGGGCTTCAAGATGCTGGGCAGCTTGGGAAACTGAGCACAAACACTGGGGGCAGCTACGCTTTTCTCCCAAAGCATTAGCTTCCCTATTTTGAGAGACAGATGGGAGGAGACAAATGCAGAATTGACAGTTGCAGACCCCTGGGCAGTTCTGCCTGTTCTACATGGAAAAAGACAGTACTGCCCTGCACCGCTGCCATCCAGCTCACCATCACTCAGTCTGCACAACTCGCTAACTGCCTGGAAATGCAGCCCAAGCCCCCAGTGGGTGACTTCAGAGGCCTCAGTTCTAAGGAAGAAGTGCCCAGGGAGAAAGCAACCCTCTCAAAGCACCCACAATGGTTGCTTTTCTGGGCCCAAGGGAAGGTTGCTGGGCTCTCCAGGAGCCATGCTGGATGAAGGCCACTGGATCACTCTGTGTCCCTGTGGACCTCATAAGCAGATTTTGCACTCTATTAACCAACATCTGTCTGCACGGCCCTGCTGTCAGAAGCTTTTGTCTAGAGAGGCAGCAAATACGTAGCGCCGGGCTGTGGGTTTTGAAGCAGGCCAGCTTGGGTGCACCCTGGCTTTGCCACTGCCATTGGGGGACCTGGCCAAGGCTTTCAGCCATGCTGAGCTTCATCTACACACCAGAAGTGCCATTTGTACCCAACCTGTGGGGGTGCGGGGAGACCAGTGCTAAGGTGGTCATGCCTGTAGTGAGTCCACCATGCCTGGGCTTAGAAGACACGCAAGGGCCAGGTGACGATGGAGGTGATGACCCGGGCGCCCCTGCAGTCCTGAGCCAGTGGTATTTGCTCCCCTTTTCAGGGGAGGGTTCTCCCGGCAACTAGTGTTGCTTTTTTCTCCCCTCCTTTGTCTATCTATTCCATGGCTTCGCTGCCTTCTTCAGCTTCCAACAACGTGAAACTGCACAATGCTAGTTCATGCAGCACTGGAGGGGCAGGGCTGGCCTGCTCCGAACACACACCCCAAGTCCCCCAGCCACCCTGCCGGGCTGCGACCCCTCAAAGGGGTCCCTTCTGCCATCCCTTCTGCCCTCTGTCATCCAGTCTTCCCCTCCTGCTGGCTGGCCCCTCTCCCAGTCTCACCCTTACCTCACATTGTCATGCTTCTGAATGTAAATCTTGTGGAACATCATATCCTCCTGCTTGGCATTGATGTCTGCTTTCATCTCCATGGCAACGTGGCGGGGAAGGACCGACAGCAGAAGCCGCTCCTGGGAACAAAGTACATGAGTTCACACCTGCTCCTTCCACTTCCGGTAAGTGTCCTTCTGCCCCAACCTGTGGCCCTGCAGCAGGGCCCTGGAAGACCTCTTGGGTTCTCCTGAAATTTGCAAGGCTACCACCTCTCTGTAGAGCTGGAGTCATGCCCCAGGGCTGTCTGGTTCCTGTCTCCCTGGGACATGTCTTGGTTCTTCCCCAGGCTTGTCGCCAGGCTGCACTGGAAGGGCACTCCTGCTGAACCTACAAGTGTTGAGCAGAGCACTGTGGGTTAGAACCTGAGATGCTGGCTGACCTTGGGCAAACCACTGAACTTCTCCGAGCCAAAAGAAGACGGGGAGGAAGACAGCATTAAAGGTGATTCATTCAGTCCCAGGCATCAAATATTTACTGCATATCCACATATTGCTGGCATAGTCTGGGTGCCAGGCATCCTTCTTCTCAAAGCTTCCCATCTCTTGGGGACAGGGAGACGCTGGAGTCACTGAGCACGGATGCCATGACAGTGGCTGAGGACAGTGGTGTGGGTGGAGAGGGCTTCATGGACACCAGGGATGCGGAGTTCAACTCTACAGGCCAGTGGGGAGCAGGCTGACCATGAAGTACAAGTCAGCCCAACGGGGGAACTGGACAGAGACCCCAACCCTCCTGTCTGTCCATGGCTGCCAAGGGGGCCTCCCTTTGGTGAGTGCAAGCCAAAGCTTCCTTGGGGACAGGAGCTGTGTCTTCTCCAGTGCCACAGCCCAGGGTCTAAGGAAATGGATAAATTAGCAAAAGATGCAGCTCTCCCTGGGTCTGTCTAGTGTCCTCAGGCATCAGGACACACGATCACAGACGCCTACCTCCAATGTACAGAACTCAGAAAATAGCCACCTATGAGAGCATGCATGAAAGGACAATCCTGTAATAGAGGACAACCAGGAGAAAGTGTGTGACCACTACAGTCACAAGAAACCTTCCTTCTTTGTCACTATATCTGGGCCAAGGGCTTGGTGACAGTGGCAGACAGGGCCACCTTCTAAGCCCCCTCATCATGTGACACCTCAGACCTGTGCTGGTGCCTCAGGGATCAAACATGATGCTGTCACCACCATCACCACCCCTTGGTGCTGAACACAGTTTGGCAAAGAAGTTTCTCTGCCAAGTCCCTGCAGATTTGGTGGCACATGCAGCCTGGTCAGGGCCACCACAGGTAAGCTATGATAAGCTGGGAGATGGTCTCTGTCTTGGAGAAGGAGAAGCCCAGAGTCAGAGGGGCCAGTCTGCCATCAGGGGAAGGAAGGTGCCCAGCCCAGAGCAGAGCCACAGAGCCCAGACGAGATGAGATAGGGCTCCTGAGGGGCGCCATGGAATGAAGGTGAGCAAGCTTGTGGACAAAGGACAGCAGAGGACTCCAGGACACTGCTGAGCCAGGCTTCCTTCAGGAGGCTGGGCCAGGAGTCCAGACAGGGCGAGAGAGTGAAACGGGGACAGTCAGGCCCCAGACTAATCTAAGTGAGACGCCTGGCAAGACACAGTGGCCACAGAGGCAGTGCGGAAGGTAAGCAGCAGGGCTGAGGAGGACCTGGAGACACTGCAGAGCTTCCTCTCCTCATGTGGCAGTCTGGGGGTCACTGGCCACTGCAACCACCTCATACACATCAGACAGAGTTGGAGACGCTCATGCTGCAGGGGAACCGCCAAGCCCCTGGCTGGCCACAGCGTGCACTCCACTGCTGCCTGGGCCATCATCACCTCCCTGTCCCCATACCCAAGGTGACCGATCACCTGGTTCCCATCTTTCCTGGGTCCTGACACAAATGTAGCTAGGCGTTTGGGGAGGAGGACGCTGTGGTCTTCTAGACTTTAGCTCACAAGAGTTTTGCTTGGTCCACACATGGTGGGAGACCCACAGCCCTGCCAACTGCCACTGTCACTCCTGGGTTTGCTGCCCCATGCTAACCTCTTGTCTGGGAGTTTCATAGTTCCATGCTGTCTCATTATCAGACCTCTAATTGGTCCACACGCAGGAAAGGAGACAGTGGTGACCCAGACCTGAATGTCAGCAAGAGCTGCTCCTTAGGCTGGGGACAGCTAGAGCCTAGGGGAAGCCAGGTCTGAGTCCATGGCCCTGTGAAGTGGCCAGCCCTCCTTCCCCAGGACAGTCTTGGGTGAGAAAAGTACCTTCCTTTTCTGAACCCATCACACCCAAAAATGAGCAGAGAGGAAGAACCAGGTGTAGGGTACTGTAGGGCCGACAGCACCTTCTCCTCTTCTCTCTTGACTGCCCTGGAGAAGCACCTTGACTGCAGAGGAAATGCTGACTGCTCTCACCTCTCTGAGCCATGGGGTACCTGGGAGGGAGGAGCAGACATCCTGCAGCTTGGCTCGTGCACAAATCACAGAGCTGAGGGGTATGAATGGGCCACAGAGAGGGCAGAGAGGACTGAGGATCCCCATAGAAAGAAGAATGCTGTGCACCCTCAGGGAAAAAACTCCTTCATCCTAGAAGTGTTCTGGGTTTAGCACAGCTGGAGAGGAGGCTGAGCTCCAGGGCGACCTCCCTGTTTTCAGGGTACGGCCCTGGGAGGCCCTTACTCACCTGCTGCTGGTTTTCCCGCTGCGAGTGGAGCCGTGCCTGGATGCACTCCCGGGTCTCCTGGAAGGCCTGTCTCTGGGAGACCTCGGCCGGGTAATGGGTGCAGACGCCCACGATGTTGGTGCAGGAGAAAATGAGGACATTGGAGACAAGCTGCAGAGGGAGACAAGGACACTGAGCTGAGCCCTGAAGCAGGTCCTGGTCACCAGAGACTTGATCCTAATCCTCCTCGCTCCAAACCGTGGACCACCCAGACCCCATCTTAGCAAACATACATCTAGCTATCAGTAAACAAATGCCAATGATCCCTTAAACCCAGTCTGTTACGCTTGAGGTCTAAAATGTCACTCTACAAGTCTCATGTGTTCAGAGGTTGGAAGGTGATGGGGTCACAGGGGCCCTACACTCACTGGCAGAGTAACTTGCTAATGAGTTAATAGATGAATATGCTGTTAGGAGATGATGCCTGCCTGCAGGTGAACCACCAGAGGCATGACCTTCGTGGGTACATAGCTCTGGCTCCAGCACTGTAGCCCTGCTTCCCAGACACGGTGAAATAAGCAGCTTTGCTCCACCATGACTTTTTTGCCCTGATGGCCGCCTCAGAGCCTTCTGACCACGGACTGAATCCCCTGCAACCAGGAGCCAAATTAAACCTCTCCTTCATTAAGTGATAGCCGTTAGGTAATGTGAACCACCAATGGGAAAGCTGACTAATACCCAGATGGATGCCAGGAGCAGTCAAACGTAACTGTTCCGCGGTGTGAATGTCCTCCAAGCTCAGAGCTGGGCAGGCCTATGATAAAGTATGGCCCTAAGGACACAGACTTGCTGAACTGTAAACATACGGAATGCATCCATGACAGCAAAAGTTAAAAGGTCTGCTGGAGGCTGCAGGAGCATGCAAGGAAGGTTGTTTGAAGGCGGTTGGATTTCTTTTTTGACAGTGTGGTGGAGTCCAGACTGGTACAAAGAGCTGCTCTTTTGTAGTGTAGCCTTGGCTGATTAGTCTCAGAGATCAGCTACCAGGAACCCAGGACATGCTGATCCCCATCAAACCCAGCTCTGTGCTCAACAGTCTGGAGCATGTAGGACGGACAAGGGGTCCAGCGTGGAGATCAGCATCCTCCGCTCCTTCCTCCCAGCCATCCCTCTTTTGCACCACCCCAAGGCGCCCTGACAACCCCAGACAGGCTGCGGCCATTTGCCATTTCCTCTGCTCCTCACCAACCCCTTCTCCAAGCCAACTGAGATGTGTGTGTGTAGAACAACAGCACCTTTTCGGTCAGCCGAGACAAGGATGTGGGTACTTTTTTTGAGAGGAATTTACTGAAAAGCTAAAGGTAAACAAAACAATACAACACATCCCACAGAAACAAGTTTATGCAGCACATTTCAGAGTCTGGGCAGGTAAAGTGCCCAGGGATCTGAGCATGCTGACTTTGGTCCTTACCGAGCTTTAGGCCTAGCAGAATGAAAGTCACACAAAGACACCCAGGATTCCAGGCTGGGGGGCTCTGAGCTACCCCTCTCCTTCTCCTCATAATCTGACACTCAGCTCCAACCCCAGGCAGCCAACATCAGTCATCCCCACACCTCCCACTGAGGCCCCGTGATCCTTTGGGGAACCTGGGTTGGCTAAGGAACCCAGAGGTGAGAAAGATACTTGGCTAGAACCCGAAAAGCCATCCTGTGGGATTTAAGGCACTTAGCAATAGCCCAAAAAGTGACTCCCACACTCTTGTCTAAGAACATCTTCGTCTCTGGAACCTAGGCTCTGGCTTGGCCTTGGGTCTACATTCTAGTTGAAGGCTTTCCCCCACCACAGATCAGCGGTGGTCTTGACCATCACCAATGTCCTCCATCAGCCCTGGTCTGCAGGCCCTGTGAGTGCCACCCTGGCTGTAACCATGACCTTTGTCCTGGTTTATAAAGAGAAAGAGACTGTCTCTCACTCTAAAGTCTGGCTCTCTCCTGGCTGGAGAATGCTCTGAAGAACGCCTCCTGGATGTGCCCATGTGAAAGGGGAAGATGCCCAGAGGCCCAGCCCTACCATGTCTGCTGGCTACGACTGCTGACCTGCAGGTCCCACCACCTCCCACCTGAACCCATCCCATCTGGAATCCCATCACTGATGTAAACACATGGCTCAGGAAAACCTGTTTATGACAAGCAAGGGAGATTCCTACTGCACAGAAACTGGAACAGGCCTCTGGAAAGTTGCTACACACTGCTAATCAAGGGGTAAGGGGAGACAGAGATAAGGAGGCGAAGAATGAGGGGTGTTCTAGTTAGGGGAGAGCTGAAAGGGGAGACAAAGGTACCAGATAATAGAGACAGGAGAAACTGGATGGAGGGAACACGGACCTACACCTCAGAAGGACAGCCTGATAACACGATGCGCTGGGTGAGCTTTATCCTGAATGAAGGCTGATTCAATTTCAAAAATCAATCACTTCCTCCATATTAATACACTAAAATGGGAAAACTATATGCTTATTTCAAAAGTTATTAAATCTTTTTGACAATGTGACATATATCCATATTTAAAAAAAAATAACTCACCAAATTAAGAGGGGAAGGAAAGTCCCTTAATCTGGTCAATGACATATACAAAAACTTCTACAGCTAGCGTTATATTTAACAGACTGTTTTCGGCTAGAACAGAGAAAAAAGCAAGGTGATGTCCTGTCCACTCCTGTTCGGCACTGTAGTGGAGGTTGTGGACCATGCAATAAAACACAAGGTAGAAAACACATAAAAACTATAACAGAAAAAATAAAACTCACTATTTAGAGATAACCTGATTGTTTATGTGGAAAACCCCAAAGAATCTACAAAACAACTACTGCCAGAATTAACACACCAGTTGAGAAACGTCATGAGATATAAGCAATTGTATTGCCATATATTGCTCTTTGCATAAGAAGAAGCAACTGTATTTCTGTCCATAAGCAGTGAACAAGAAGTGAAAAATGTCAAAGTAGCATTTAAATAGCACCCAAACACACCAAATTGCATGTAAAGGATAAATCTAATGAGATGTGTGCAAGACCTGTCCACTGAATGCTAGGGAACACTGACAGAAGGACATTTAAAAGACCTAAATAAAAAGGGACTTATATATACCAAGTGGTAGAAAACACATATTATCTGATAATATTGTTTTAGATGTCAAATTTCCCCAAACTGATCTACAGATGAAACAACTACAATCAAAGCAATGAAAATAGCTAAAATAACTGAAAAACATGACGATGGAAGACACAGCTCAATTTTAAGATTTTCTAAATTGCTACAGTAATTATGTCAGTGTGTTACTGGCATAGGGATAGAGATAGAGCTCAATGGAATGGAATTTAGAGTCCAGAAATAAAACCTTATATTCACGGCTAATTGATGGGGTCAGGGAAGGAGTACTAGGGATTGAATCCAGGTCCCTTACATATGCTGGGCAAGTGCTCTAACCCCGAGCTACATTCCCAGCCCATAGCTGGTGAATTGGAAAGGATTCCAAGACAACTTAGTGGGGGAAAGAACAGACTTTCCAACAAATGATGCTTCAATAACTCGTTAGCTAGTGTGAATGAATGAAGTTGGCCCCCTTACTTCACATTGCATACAAAAATTAACTCAAAATGAATCAGAGATCTAAATGTGAGAGGCACATCTATAAAACTCTTAGAATAAAAGATAGAAATACATTTTTGTGACACTGGATTAGGCAATGATTTCTTGGGTATCACACCCAAGACACAAATGATCAAAAGGGAAAAAGAGATACACTGGACTTCATCAAAAACCAGCTTCTCCAGTAACTGAGACATGAGCTCAGACTTGCATGAGTAACACAGTGAGACCCCATCTCAGGAAAGAAAAGAGGGAGAGACAGAGAGAGAGAGAGAGAGACTTAAGATATGAAACAAACTGGGGATTAAGATCAGTGGCACACTGGGGCTGGGGATTTAGCTCAGCGGCATAAGCACCTGCCTTGCAAGCAGGCAGTCGTGAGTTCGATCCCCGGTACTAATAAAAAGGAAAAAGACAAAAAAAAAAAAAAATGGTCAGTGGCACAAGTGGTACTAAATAATAATAATAATGGAACAACAAGCCACAGTATGGGAAAAATTATTTCCAAGTAACATATCTGATAAGCACTGTACCCCAAATTCAAAAAGAACTCTTAAAATTTGACAATTAGTAAATGAACAGCCTATGTTTTAAAAGAGCAAAAAATCCTGAATAGGTGGTTCACCAAAGAAGGTATGAAATGGTTCACCAAAGAAGACATAACGACCAAGAAACATGGAAAGATGTTCACCTTCATTAGCCATCAGACAGATGGAAATGTAAAAAACACTAAAGATAAATCCAGTTAACAATGAAAAGAAAAAAGAAAAGGGAAGAGAACAGGGAAGGGAAGGGAAGGGGAGGGGAGGGATCTGCAGTGCCAAGCACTGTGAACATGTAGAACCCTATCCCTGGCTAATAGCAATGGGCGCTGGTACAGTCACTTTCAAATGCAGTTCAGCAGTCTCTCAGAAGGTTAAATACGCACTTGCCATGTGACCCAGCAACTTCACTCTTAGGTGTTTACTCAAATGGAATGAAAAGTTACACTGACAGAAAAACATGTTAGTGAATATTTATGGACGACTAACTCCTCAGCTACAAAATCTACTGATACACACAATGGCATGGATCATCGCAAATACATTATGCCTGCATGAAAGAAGCCAGACTCAAAAGACTAGAACCATTTGATTCTATTTCTAAGGCACTCCGGAAAGAGCAAAACTGTGGGATCAGTTATTTTGGGGGATGAGGAGTGGCCACAAAGAGGCAGCAAGAGGAAACCCTTTGGAGTGATGGGACTTCAAGTATGCTGGTGGCTACTGCTTACATGCATTTGTGCAAGCTACGGAACTACACACTTTAAAAATGTGAATTTGATTGCATATAAACTATCTTAATAAAAAAAGGACAGTAGAGAAGAGGGTCTGAAGAGCTGGCTGTATAGGGAAAGGTGGCCTTTCCTCTTTCTGAGGGCACACAGAAGCTGGGGTTGCTTTTGAGACACAATGCCAAGGTGATTATCGACTAGCTTCTACACCAGCTCTGCATTAATCCTCTGGGTCTCTCTTGCTGTAACC